TATTCAAAAAGAAAATTCTGGTAGCAAACACATGAAGAGCTCTGCATGGGAAAAGGCTTTTAGATCAATGTTAGTCCCCTGAGGATCTCTGACTTTTTGCACTAACAATAGTGCCGATAACTGTGATTTTTATTAAGGAAAGCCTAATGGCTGTTTCTCCACACCCCATTTCCAAGTAACAATTAAATTGATTCAGAGATGCTAGACTGGTAAGTTTGATAAAATGCACTTTGTAGCTTTACAAAACCGTCCCTGTACAAATGAGGTGAAGAAAATGTGGACATTCCGAAGGGTATGTCTTTTATGTATAATTGGAAGCTTTCAGCGGGGTACAGATATTTGTCTAAGGTTAGTGGTTACATAGGCAGTGGGAGAATAGGTTTATGGGCAGTCATTGGGTGATTAAAGAAAGCACCTCAAGATTCACTTGTTTTAGAAGATTATGATGTAGTATTTAAATACCATGATGACAAGCCCATTACAAATGAGAAGAAGGATGCACCACCTCATTGCTGTAGTTTGCAGTGTAATAAAAGCCAATGGTTATTTAACTGTTGATTAGATCCAAAGCTATTATCTGAATCCTTCCTACACCGTTAGACGTCTCTTAGGGCATGAACAAGGTTCCATCATCCTTTCCTATCCTGGGCTGCTCTTTGCATATCCTCTGTGTTGTTAAATTCCACAAATGTTCCCTCTCTAAATGCTGCCTGATGCCCATTTAAAATCAGCATTAAAATATTAAATGCATATTTTATGTAAGGGATTTCTGAGTGACAGGTCCTCAGGGTGGGGCATAGAAAGGAGAACAGTTAGCTGATAGTTTTGTGTTTTCCTTTAGATTCCGCACCCAAGGACCTATTCCTCAGAAACCAATCAACCAGGGGATAGTGCAAAGAAAGTGACTGTTTTCCCATAGTGTTCTGCAGCAGTATGATTGCTGCAGTTTAACCTGTCAACTTCCCTTTGCTTAAGATTTTGGCAATTACACTCATGTAGCCATAGCAAATCTTTGGCTTTGTTGCATAGAATAGGAACCCCCTCGCCTGCCCCTGAGATGGAAAAAATGAAAAAAGGAATCTGGAAAGGGAACATATCTGTTAAGTAGAATATGAGGACCACAGCTCAAGGCGGCGGAGAGAAATGGTAAAAGATGCTGAGGAAACCTCTTCTCCCATACTTCACAAGATATTGGAAAGCTTCAGCGACTGTCTTAAAAAACAAGAAACAGCAGAGTTGGGAGACAAGCCTAGATACTAGAAAAACAACTCTTGGTGAAGAACTTGCAACTGTTTTAAAATTACAAGTGGAAAAAAAAATCAAATAAACATCCATCAGCTTCTGGGAAGATGGCAGATTCTACTTGCCTAACAAGATTTTCTGCTTTCTTGGAGGAAAACCTTATTTCATTTATAGAACCATTAGAGAGTCCATATTTAAAGGGTTTAATAAAACATATATAGACTGCCTTGCCCTGCAAAAACTATTATTCCCCTGGGTAGAGAAAGTGACTGACTGTGGGCATTAATGGCCTCCTCCTGTGGTTTCTGGCATTATACCCCACTCTTATTTGTGTTTTTTCCAAACCAAAGTGCTATTGTTTTTCATTATAACCTTGCACTTGAGTTCATAGTTCCTATGAAGCATGGATGTGTGTTATATTTTATTTATTTTTATTTATAGGTATCTCAATAGCACTTGTTGTTGTATCATGTTTATAAAAGCATTTGAATACCATTTCTGTATATGAGAAAGATCCTGTATATGGCAAACACCATTAAAATAGAATAAGTAAATTTTATATAAAATTGTTTTATCCTTGCCAAATATTAATTATATTCATAATCTGCATTTTTACACACAGAAGGTAGCCTTGCTGGTGTCATGGCAGCTGTCAGTTAAAAGACAAACCTGAAGTCATCAAGGGCCAGTAGGGGCTTTGAGTGTATTCCTCAAAGGGGAGAAGTAGAGATCACATTACTGTGTAATCCATAAAAGTGGAACATTGGCTTTGCAGATGTTTTCTGATGGATCTGGATAGAGATGTTCTAGTACACTCTTTGCCGGTAGTGAGTGGAAGTTATTTCTTTTTAAAATGAAAAGAATACAATAGGATTGAATGGGTGAATTTCAGATTTTTAAAAAATCTGTGGAGATTTATACAGTGTCTACAGTTTAAATATATAAAATCTTTGAAAGTGGGGTCCTATTTATTGTTGATAGTGTGAAATTTTGAAGTGAGATTGATTACCCTGCTGCATATTAATTCTCCTTATTATCATGTAGTTTTTGTATTAACAAGAAGTTGAACCATTCTGTTTGTAAACTTTCTGATTCAGAGTTTCTAGTAGTTAATTTGTGAACTGGAACCAGTGTTTTATGTATTATAAAAGCAAAACCTACCTGCTTATTACAGGATAATGGATAAAATGTACCCATTTTGTTCTCTAGACATGTATACTGTCATGCTGTCTGAAATGGCTCATGACTGAGCGTGCCAACCTCAGGGCAGACTCTCTAAAAGCAGAGCAGATACCCCAAACTTGTATGTTCTGTAATTAGAGTTCACCACCCAGTAACAAATGTGAGCGCCCAAAGTATTAAAATAGTCTTATAATGGAGTCACAGACAGTCCCCTTAGACACTCCAGTCTATCTTGCCACCCTGGCAGGCTGAACTATGTGATAAATGGTCATTTACACCATAAATCACAAAATATTCAGGTAGCTTCCAGTTCCAAGAGGCCAGTCACTTACCCCAGGTCAGGTTGTATCTTACATCTCATACCAAAGACAAAGCCTGTAGCCAATCCTGTAATAAACTATCTAAAGGTTATTAGCTGGGAAAAAGAAATGAGAGTTATTACAGGTTAAGGCAAGCAGGCGTATATACACAAATGGGTTTGTCTGTGATCCAAAAGGTGACATAGTTGAGTAATCTGTCAGTTCAAAGTGTCTTTCGAGGTTAACACATGCCAAGTAGCATGGGGACCTCTTTGTTTATGTTTAGGAATCTTGACCCTCAGAATCCAGACAGCATAAAAGAGATTCAGTTTCTCCTTATCAGAGATTTTTATGCCCTCCACTTTGGAGCCCAAACCTGATGGGATGAGTTCATGTGTAGGTCTCTCCTTCCTGGGGGGAGTTAGGGATTGGTCCAGGTTCTAGAGGGAGCAGTTTGCACAGTCTGAAGCAAAGGACTGAGACAGCCTACAGTGAGTGGAGTTGAAGGGGGCAGCAGACTGACAAAAAGTTTGACTATGAAAAGCATAATCCTTATTACAGAGTTGAACTGTGAATTTAAAACTCTTTGAATATATGAAATCAGGTGGCTGTATTGCAGAATTGTTAAGAAAAATACTAGTGATCATTCAGCAGTAAGAGAAATAGTTATTTCTGTCCATTGAACCAGATCTACTTAATCCCCATTCATGTCAAATGTGTGTTGCTATTCTGGTGTCTTGAGAGGTGTGTTATGTATCATCAGACAAAACGATCAGATGAAGGAATGGATCTCTGGGTGTCTTGCTCCCTAGGTTGATAAAATTCAGACTGGGGATTGGTGAGAGAAGGGGAAGTGATGATAACCAATGGCATAATTGCCCCCTAGCCAATCAATCTACAAGAGCTGTGTTCACTCCATACTTTTTTTGGTTTTAGATTTAATACACATTTTCATTAAGTTTAGAGAGCATGTAAAGCAAGCAAACTATTTGCTTACAAAGGGGCTAACCTGTGCTAATTTGGGATAACAAATGCAGAGACTGCAATTTGTTAGGTACAGCAGGCCTCCTCAGCCAATATGGCCTTATTGCTCCTAAAAGCAGAGGCTGTTGTTAAATGGTATGTCCATACTTTTTATTTCTAACTTTTTGTCAAGTCTATTTGAGATAATTTAAAAGTATTAAAAACTAGAACTTTTAGGATCCAGAAGATGTCAGCATCTGACTCAGATAATGAAAATGAACATGTGTTCACTATGTCCGCACTGCTTTGGATTGTTATCAAGCAGAACCCATCATCAGCATGGACGCATGTCCCCTGGAAGGGTGGTTGAAGCATGAAGGGACATATGAATCTTTAGCGCATCTGGCATGTAAATATCTTGTGATGCTGGCTACAATGGTGCTGTGCGAGCACCTGTTCTCACTTTCAGGTGACACTGTAAACAAGAAGAGGGCAGCATTATCTCCTGCAAATGTAGAAACAAACTTGTTTGTCTTTGTGATTGGCTGAACAAGAAGTAGGACTGAGTGGACTTGCAGGCTCCAAAATTTTACATTGTTTTATTTTTGAATGGAGGGTTTTTTGTACATAATTCTAAAGAGATTGCACTGCAGTACTTGTATTAGGTGAATTGAAAAATACTGTTTCTTTTGTTTTTTTTACAGTGGAAATACTTGTAATCAAAAATAAATATAAAGTGAGCACTGTATACTTTGTATTCTGTGTTGTAATTGAAATCAGTATATTTGAAATTGTAGAAAACATCCAAAAATATTTAAATAATGGTATTCTATTATTGTTTAACAGTGCAATTAATCATGATTAATTTTTAATTGCTTGATAGCCCTAGTAGAAATATATGAAAAAATGTGGTTTTGAGCCTTTGTGCATTTCATATGCCTTCGCTAAATAAAATTTACTTATACTGAATTGCATCCACTCTGTTTATTACTTTAAGAATCCATCAGTACAACACCTGTCACAGGTGAGAATTGCAGGGCGTAAGTATATAGAGCTGCAGCAGTGGAAAGCATAAATGTTTGAATTTAGAAATGCAGTTGCTTACATTGAATTGCACAAATTTCCACAGTGTCAAGTTACAACTAATATTGACAAATACTGAGTAATATGCATTTTATAAAGTTGTGATTGGTATTTTTATTGTGCATTTTATTGGGGACATGTTTAGTATGTTTTAGAGCCTTTGGAAAAATTAGGTGACTGAATATTCACTATGGCACTCTTTGATTTTTATTTTTTTTTATGTTTGTTTAGTTGTTGGATAAATTAAAAGATCGCTGGATGCATACTGGCTTATGGAGAAACTTGGAGCTTGTTAAGACAGTAATTGCAGAGCCTAAAGGAGGAGACAAAGCTGACTTTGATGCACTGCTCCAAATATACTATGATGCAATAAAATATAAAGGAGGAAAAGGTAATCGGATGGGTGAGGATGTCTGAATGAATTTTTAACTCACATTAAGTAGTTAATGTAGACTTTTCAGGTAGAAAGTGTGGTTGATATTTTAAAATATTTTGAAGTCAGACTAAGATGGTGTTGTACAATTTATTTTACTATATGATATGGTATTTTTGGATTTGAGCGGAGTTGTGCCTGATGGTTTGTACGTAATGTATTCATATATTACACACACCAAACCTTTGTTAAAATAACATTAAGGATGCAAAGTCAAGCACTATGAAGTTAGGAAATGCCAGTATTAACCTTTATTCGGCCCCCTTGTGCATCTATAATATGATACCATCAATACATTATCACATACTCCTGTTCATAGGAGCCCTGTTCTTTTAGTGATTGTGCACATATACGTTCTACCATAGACATGCATGCACCCAATTCACTCAAGTCAGAGACTTTTGCCAGCCTTCACCTCAGGTATCTACAGGCCTGGCTTTGCTCAGTATACCATCCAAGCAGATGTTCTCTGGACATGCTCATTTGCGTACCAGCAAGAGTGATTCAGTCCATGAGTTGATGGATAGATCCCCAGAATGTCTGCAAAGGTGTTCCTTTCTTACCACCACAGTTAACAAGGACTCTTGTAACAAATGTGTCCTCCAGGGGCTAGGATGCCAATTTGGGGCAACTTCAGGCTCAGGCACTTTGCACATCACAGGAGACTTCTCTCTACATAACGTATTGGGGCTGTGAAAGTTTTATTACCACCATCAGTAATCAGGTGATTCAAGTTCTTATCGACAACACCACTTCTATGTTTTTTCTCAACAAGAAGGAAGGTCCAGGGTTGATTCAGCTTTTCCAAAAGGTGATCCATTTGTGAAACTTCTGCATAAAGAACACTTTCTTACCAACAGAAGTTGGTCCAATGAAAGATATTACCTCAGCAAGATTCTCCTAATTTAACATTATGTTGATTTAACTGCAACAGTGGTCTCTCAGATAACTGAATCCTGAATTATTCTTATTGTAGACTTTCTGTCCAGTATAGACTAACAGACGTATTGGAGCATGAGCTTTCATGGGTGAAAGTCTATAAGGTGCCACAGGACTCTTTGCTGCTTTTACAGATCCAGACTAACAAGGCTACCGCTCTGATACCTGTCCAGTATAGACTCCAGATGTGTACAGTGAATGTAATATTTACCCTGTTAATTTCTGAACAAAGCCACCATTTTGCAAAGCATAGAAACATATTTACAGTGCACTGTTTTACAGACTTAACCTTATACATTTTATTAAAAAATACCCTAAATATCAGTTCAGTCAATACAGCATAATAGTAAGTAAGAGAACAAGAGAATACCATTATTGAAATGATGAATTGAAAACACTATTGCTATAGGTAGGTACAGTCTTTTCCCTATGATGCACTTCTATATTATATAGTGCCTCTTGCAAGCATAATATGAAAATTGCTAATTCAGCACATTGATATCATTTGTCTAAATTATATTAGCTACCATAATGCTTCTGTAAAAAATCATGTACTTTTATTTCAGCTCACTTTTTTAAACTGATACTCACTGCATTGTACTGTATTAACTTTAGTCTTGTCAAAGAATACCGTAAAACTGCTTTTTGGTAACTGATGATTTATTCCCAAAATGATTGCTAATTTTTCTTTGCTTTGTTCAAGATGGAGCACTTCTCATAGCAGTATGCAGAGGTAAAGTTAGTGAAGGCTTGGATTTCTCTGATGACAATGCCCGTGCTGTTATAACTATTGGTATTCCATTTCCAAATGTGAAAGACCTTCAGGTAGGACATCAACACTTAACCAAAAGATTTGTAACTTAAATTTATGTCATGTCTAAAATACTTCTTCATGTACGGAATACTGTATTACCAAATTTGGTCAGGACTCTCACCTGACCTCCTTTTGAATTCTTCAGCATGCTTTCTACATGGTAAAATTGGGAGGCTATGTGGCTTCTATTTTTAGATTTTAACACTTGTTAATACTACATACTACAATAAATTTATTTTAAGCCATTGTTTGAATACAGCTAGACATAGTGTTTTTACATTCAAAGTGCCCATTGGCTCCATTTTTACCAGCTATGTCACAGATAAAGACTACTCCTTGATTTATCTGATACAGCAGGATATGTGATAGCTAAGATCCATTATAAATTATGGGGAAAAGATTATTTTTAATCTACTTGAGGTTGTTTCCTAAGAAAATAAATAACAGATACAAATTAAAGTAAGAATGTTAAGATGGGTAAAATAGGTTGAGAGGTAAATATATAGATATAACCTACAGGTGAAAGATTTTCCTACATTCTTTCATTGTTATCTTAAAGTTCTTTCATTGTTGGTTGCTGCATGTCCCCTCTTCAGTCCCCATTGCCTCCTTCAACATCGTTATGTGTGTAGCACTCTTCATTTAGCTTTTCCAAAGCTAATGTTGATGCTTCGCTTGCTTCTTTAGAGTGTGAAATTATTACATGAAATGAGCTCTTCCTGGAAATTGAGAACATTGCTTTTTTTTGATGATTTGAGGCATAGATCTTAAAGTGGCTTCTGAATGTAGTGGTAGGCCTAAATTAACTAAATTTCCGGGTCAGTTTGTATCTTTGAGTTGACCAAAGTGTCAGCCCCTTACATTGCTTAGAAGTTATTCACGTGAGTATACTCACTGATTTTGGTGGGACTGCTTGTCAGTAACTGCTCATCAGTGTGAGTAAAGGGTTCACGTTTAGGTCCATTATGTTTTGTAAAGGGACTAAAAATAATAAAGTATGAAAGAAAGATGTAATGAGTAATCTGAGAGAGACTGACTTGCAATGTATGTACCCAAATAAAAAGAGTACCCATTAGACATGTAACTAATAGACTTTTTTTTTTTTGGTCCTTTGCTACCCTGATTGTTATTTCAGTCCTTCCTGGAGTGGGGGGTAGTCAGTGGGAAGATTAAGTATTCACGAAGAATAGGAATCTGACGTACTGGGAAAACTCTGGCATAACACAGATGGGAGTTGTGGAAGCTTTGCCACATAATTGTCAGTGCGTCTTAGTTCTCATTTGCAATGCTTTTGTTATAGTTTTGGTCCTCTGTTAATCAAATTCAGTGAGAGATTTAGTTCTGAGGGCTTGTCTATACTTCCGGCTAAATCTGCACTGCTGCGATTGATGCAGTGGTATCGATTTAGTGAGTCTGGTGAAGACAAGCTAAGTCGATGGTAGAGTGCTCTGCCAATCGAAGCTTGTACTCCACCTCCCCGAGAGACAGAAGGTAAGTTGGCGGGAGAGCGTCTCCCGTCGACATAGTACGGTGTAGACACCACTGTAAGTCAGTCTAAGTTACATCGGCTTCAGTTACGTAACTGAAGTAGCGTAGCTTAAAAGTCGATTTACAGTTTAAGTATACTTAAACTGTATACTTGCTAAGTCGTTTCCCTCCACTAACTGGTGGCATATTTCCTGACTCTCAGCCACTCCCCTGAAAGAAGCAGAAATGAGGAAACTCAATTAATGGACTAATTGAGAACCTGAATAAACACATGTCTTACAGCATGTGGTAGAAGTTGACATGCTTGAGACATGTGTCCAGTGGGAGCGAATTCCAAAAACAAGGGCATGCTACGGAGAGTGCCATATCTTTGACATGAAATTCTATGAATTATTTCATACCTGTTCTATAGAGCTATTCTATCTTTGTACAGCATCTAGCAGAATGGGAACCTGGTCCATGACTAAGGCTCCTAGGTGTTATAGAAGCACAAAAAATTATAGTAATTGATTAGTTAGACTTCAGAATACATCAGCTTAAATTTAGTCTTCATACTTTTAATTCCCTTTCCCTTCAACTATACCTCTTGTCAGCTTGCTTTATCCATGAATAACATAAAACTCTGACACATCCTCCAGTAAAAAATATTACAGGTTGCCTCATGACCAAGATAAATCAGATAACTGCATTGCTAAATGATACTAATAGATTCGTATAATCTAACTGAGGAATAAAGAAAATACAGATCAAAGTTCCCATAACTGAAAGTTTCCCAAAGCATCTGAAGCCATTTCTTTCACTGTTCAGTTAAGCAAGGGCTGTCAATCTTAATACTGAAAATCTAAGCATAATATTTCAATGAACAGAATATGACTGCTGTTTCTTTTTTCATATGGCCCTTTTGTAACTGAAGAAATCAGTGTGTTTTCCTTACATGCAATATGATATCTTGCTGTTGACATTTGTTAGTTATAATTTAGGAGTATTTACCACTTTTCAACTCACAACATTGGAAGTATTTTTCTTTTACTGCCATAATTGCTTTATGGGTGCCTGATTTACACCCAAAGATATATTGGAATACAGAGTAGAATTTGCTCTTGGTTTACCAGTAGCAAACAGACCAATGGAAGATGAAAAGTGTTTGAAGTGAAGAGAGAAGTCAAGAGTGTAGGCAACAGCAAAGCTGGTCTTGTGCTCAAAGTGAATGTCAATGACACACATTCACTGTTTCATGATAAACTCATTTAGCACAGTAACTTACTAGAAAATATCCACCAATTCCAAGAAATATGCATGTTTTGCTGTTAATAATAATAAATATACCTATCTCATAGAACTGGAAGGGACCTTGAAAGATCATCAAGTCCAGCCCCCTGCCTTCACTAGCAGGACCAAGTACTGATTTTGCTCCAGATCCCTAAGTGGCCCCCTCAAGGATTGAACTCACAACCCTGAGTTTAGCAGGCCAATGCGCAAACCACTGAGCTATTCCCCCCCCTCCCCCCATTGAGTTAGAAGGTGGCAGGAGCAACATCTGGCCACATTTAAAAGTGTACTTTTGTCTTCAGTATGACTGTTTCACAACCCTAAAAAAATACTGCCACCAAAGTGTCCCAGTTTTTATTTTGTAAATATGGCACCATAATAAAATAACACTGTTTGGAAGTGGATCCCGGTCCTCTAAAATGAGGCAATTGTTTAAATACAAAATCAGTTTCATCCTCCAAGTACATTTTTCAATGAGCATCCTCTTCCATAACACCAAAACTAAGAGATACTGCAATACAGTGGAAAAGATTAGCATTTATGTGTCTGGTTAATCTCTGGGCACATATGGATACTAATTAATGGGTTAAAAAGAAACTCTTTGTAAAAAAAAAAAATACAACACTGTGGTCCCTTCAATATATAAAGCAAGAGGGTCATCCTTATCAGTAAAATCCAAAATAAATAGGGATTTTCTACCTTTTGGGATCTGAGTATACAAAGGTATTTACATTAAAATATATCCATGTTTGCATTAAATGTTTTATACACAAAGGACTTGAATTCTAATTAGAGGTAACTATCTCTACTAAGTGTAGAATTCCAGAGTTTCCACCCTTATGTTAAAGGGAGGCTGGCATACCATGATATCAGTCAGGAATATAGAGGTTGCAGTACCAAATAAACATAAGAACCCATATTATTCAAATTTATTTGTAACACTATTTATTAGTGTTCTCTGTGTGCCAACTAAACAGTCATCCAACTGTTGGTTCCTTTTCTTTCCCAGTGATAACAGCCACCACCATTACTACTACATAACTTTGAAAGGTGCTTTATAAAATAAACTCATACTGCTGTACAGAGCTAACAACCAAAATGAAATATCCCATAACAAACAAATAGTAGAGCTGCCAAACATTGGTTATAAGTAAGCCAAATCAAACAAACAAGTAATAAGTTTGGACTTGACAGCCCAAACTGACTTAGCTTCTTTAGTTTTTGGGATGCATTCTGCATTTTAAGTGCATAATCAAAGATTTCTTTGTTGTCCAAAATGCATGTGTAGGTACTGCCTGGGTTTAAAAAAAAAAAGTGCATCCTATAAGGACTAGTAAGATTATATTAGTTTAAGGTGCCTGCTAGCGCAATGTTCTTTCAGTGTTACTAGCTTAATCTTTTTTTTAATCACTTATTACTCATCCATAACATTTTCCTCCTGGCTAAAAGCTTGGCACACAGTGTTTTAAACTCAAAATGTACATATACTAAAAAGTCTTGTTCCTCATTGTAAAGTTAGAGCAGTAATTAGAAATGTTTTATTTTAGAGACCTTTATATATTAAAATGAAGTTTTGCAACACTCATTCTGTAATGTGGTTGGAATCCTCCCAGATTGTCCCTGCAGTAGGTGATCTCCAAAAGTGGGTGATTTTTATATTCTAAATGGTATTGTATGCAACACTAAACTCAAAGAGGTGAGTCAAGGATAAATTATGATTACCTGTGTGTGTGTGTGTGTGTGTTTGTTTAATACATCAGCCAGATTTGAACTAAAATCTAGAGCCAGACAATACAAATCATTACTGTTCACTAAATACCAAACATCAATATTATGTTGAGATATTTTCTAGTTTTAAAAGTTAGATTTAAGAAAACTAAATTTTTAAGCAAGGATCAAAACACTAGCTGCCAATTGCAAGTAGGCTGAACCTCTGAGTATATATATTTAGATATGCCACTGCACAAAGCACCACAGTGATCAATTCTAGATGAGAGAAGGGCATGCACCAGTCTCTTAGCATCAGATCTGAAGAGCTGGCTGGTGCATGGCAATGCTCCTAAGATAATACTGGGAAAGCTAGTTATTATTGTAGACATGTTGAGCAAAAGGCAACTTAGGTTCAAAGTGACATCTAGTTAGCACTACTTCTATGTAAATTCAATTGAGGAATGCTTTACTTTGTCCCTAGCTTTAAGTTTGTCAGATATTTCAGAAAGTTCTGGATCAGCCTCACGTATGTTACTCCTTTTGC